TTCACTATGAATGTAGGCCGCACCCCCTAGCAGCAGAAGCTCGTACTACATCCGGTTCGCCCTCTATTGACACAGTCTTGAAACTTTCCGATCGCACCTCGTAATAGCTAAAACAGCCGGGAGAGCTTAGTCAAGTGATAACCCGCGGACTGGTTGACGCCCTCCAATGTTCTTTATGTGCCTCGCGAGTCTTCTTTTTGCGGTATTTTTTCTGCCGAAGAACCTCAAGCTCATGTAATAGAACTATGGCGATTTCATCTTATGGTTTACCCACCCCAATTACCTAGTTCGAGACTGATGCTCATCAGGCCAGCCGAGGCTATCCCTGAAAAGATGGCCAAGTCGATGCAACGGTTAGTCTAACTACTCGGCTACCCTGATTGAAATTTTCCTTGCTATTCCTAAATTGTAATGAAAATGCCAGGGTATAACTCAAGAGGATCACAGGCCAATTTTCCCAATCATGGAGGCCTTTGACCGAAGTGATTTCCCTGCCACGTCCTAGAGGCCATCGCCGTCTAACCAAAATGGAGGAATGATAACCAACCAAGAGAGGATGTCTTGCACTTGTGCAAGACTCCGCCGACAGGCAAAATGAAAGTATAATGCTGCAGGTGGCAGACAGTATTGTTTTTTTATTCCATGTTCTTAGCCTCAGCGCCTACAGATAAATGTAGTTGCGTGTAATAATAATCAAGACGGCAGTTTTACCGCATTTCATGTCTCAGCAAAACTGCGGCATCACAGATCTACTAATAAACCTTGGCCCTAGTTTGTGATTAATAAAGTTACTTACATCAGAATCAGTGCAAATTCAAGTCTTCCCATGATGCAACTTCGTTCACGTATATAACTTGTAAGAGAAATATAGAGGGACAGACGTCTTTCGATAAAGCATGCACTGCAGAACGGCCTAGATTTTGATCCTGTATCACTGCAAGAAGCTGTGTCATGAGTCTATCAGTTGCCACTCCCTTTGTACAGAGTGCGACAGAGTTTACTTATTCAGTCATTCGCAAACAGCAAATAGACGACTGGAGTTTTCCTTTAGGAGAGGAGTGAATCAAGGTCGAGGATTTCTGCTCTTCCAGCAACAAAACGTATTCCTTGTTTGACGTATCGAAAAATGTGCTCAGACTTTGACCTGGAGAAATGTTCGATTTTCACTTCTCATACATGTTGCATGGGAGACCGTGTCTTTCAGCAAACACTGGGTAAAGGAGGGGTTTAGGAGCAAACAATTTCTGCGTATCACAAGTCACATATATATATACTCATACTCGAAACCGGCATGCAATTCAGCCTTTGATCTTTAGTTACAAAGAATTTTATTGTGGCACAACAAACTTCAGAGATGAATATTTCGGCCACGGATATCAATTGATATGAATTTCATATCTATATCGGAGGTGGTCATACCGACATCAAGTCTATTTGTCGGTGTAGAATATTTTCAGTTGCTCTAGCATCTAATTAATGTTAGTCATAAAATAAAGGTCAATTTCGCTCTGTACTACAATCTTTTGTGCATAAATTTACATTGCAATCTATGTCCCACTACTGGTTAAAACGTTCTACATAGGTATCAATGATAATAACAGGTGATATTTCATGGTCGGCTGAGTATGTATCATTACTATTATTATTATTATTATTCCATCTACAGGATATTTACTTCTATGTACCTGAGACAAACCTTGCCCCTGAGGTACAAATTGCAGCAGCTATTTCTGAAATACATTTTGTTTTTAATCCGTATTACATGTATTATATAGATTTAATGTGAGGCATGACTATATATACTATATATTTTACATCAGCGTCTTTCGAATGATGTATGATGATCCTAAAATGGCGATTTTCTGAAGTTCCCTAATGTCGTATTCGCCCGGGATGTTGGCCAAACATATGTTGAGTGACTTATTATTATTATTATTATTATCCCATCTCTTCACCACTTTATGGGGTATGTACTTCTATGTACCCGAGACAGACCTTGTCCCTAAGGTCAATAGGGCAGCAGCTATATTTGTTTTTAATATGTATTACATGTATTATATTATTTTATTTTACGACAGCGTCTTTCGAATGATGTATGAAGTTCCCTGACGTCGTGTTCGCCCGGGATGTTGGCCAAATATTTCCTGACCGACCTGGAGACAGTTCCTGTTGCCCCTATAACTACTGGAATTATTTTTGCTTGAACCTTCCACATTCTCTGTATTTCTACGAGAAGGTCCTTGTATTTCAATATCTTCTCTACTTCCTTCTTAATCACATTTCTGTCAGTCGGTATTGCTATGTCAATTAAGAGGCAAGTTCCGTTTTTGTTTCTGATTATTATGTCTGGTTTATTATTTGGGATGGTTCTATCTGTTCTGATTTATTGGTTCCACAAAATAGTTATTTGGCCATCTTCACTTGTCTCCA